AAGAAGAGACAGGATAATGGGACCCCCCCCCCACAGAAACCTAGGAATCCGCTTTGTCCACTTGGATCCACCGGAATTAGTACCTTGGCACCCAGAGGTGAAAGGTGACTACATCATGGGTCGCCTTCAAAAGTGCTATCTACGAACCTTCCGTAATGGGCTCGCTTTCGATTACGCATCCTTATTTATATATCGCACCCGGTGGTTGTTCTTAGGGACTTTTTTCTCTTTGATTTCTTTGAAACCAGACACGTAACCGGTTCAGAGCAAAAAACTGTGCATTGAAGAAACAGTTTCAGTGAAAGATCAATGGAATATTACGAGTAAAAACACACGCGGTCCACAGTTAACCACATTACCCTGATTTGTGTTTGCTCATTCTGGTATATAACGAATTATTAGAAAATATTGTTGAAAGTAACACAATAAAAGTTTGAGCTATACTGACTAAAACGTATCCTGTTTGACAACTTACACAACGCTACACGTCGGAGTGATTCTCGGCATCACTTTTGGAAGATGTTCAACCTTCAACAATACGAGTGAGCCCTCCTAACTGAAGCAGAAGCGGAAATAATGCGGCGATGTACAGAGCGATCTTATCGACCACAGCATTTAACCTGTTCACCCCGCTGATCCGATCACTAACCCGCCGCTCATCCGCGCCTAATTGAACCACCTCTATGTGTTGGCAGCATCGTGCATCGCGGGATCACCATCGCAGGCGATGCCGTCCGCTTGAAACTCTCGCTCGCCGACGCCCTGGAGTGCAGCACCCCAGGGTGAGTGCAAGCGGAAACCGCAATAATACGACTTATTTGATGCCCACTGAAACTAAACAAATGCTTTTGAACTCTATCGTCTATCGCTAATTTATTGTTAATTTCCAATGATAATTTCTAACGCTTGACCTCTTTAACCATGGCTTTTATATTTGCTTTAATTCAACATTTTTGTAAGTACATGAATTTGTGTCCATTATTGCTAATGCGCGAGTCTGATATCAACATTACAAATTTGGAATAAATTGACAAAAAACCAAGCAACTTCCGGCCATGTGAGAGGTGTCAATTGTTTTGCTAGATACCCAGGATAACGGGAACAATGCAAAAACAATTGATAGTTTGTAGTTTCGAATTTGACTAAACAAAAGAGCAAATATTTGATTAAGTTAATCCCCAATTTCGCATACCTGATGTTACGACTATATTCTCATACTCAATACCTCACTGCATACGACACAGATGATGTCACGCGACAGGATGACTTGACCGGTGCGTGTCTGCTCGTAGGTACGGAGAGGGCAGCAGCGGGCGAAAGGCGCTCAATTAACTGATTTACATGGTCTGCTATGACAGATTTAATTACATTTGGACGAGATTTTAGGACGATATCTCGCGTTCATCGACGAAATTTCTGGACATTCTGTAGCTGCTTTGTCCGGAGAGGCTCTGACTGTAGGTAAGGTCTGGGCAGCTACGGGATGAATATGCTTCTTAAACTCCTTCAACTGCTCTGGTAAGGCAGGTTTCATTAAATCTAGACGAAATTTTAAGACACACATGCTATGTTCCTTTGCGAAATAGCCGGGGGGCCTGTAGCCGCTGCCTATCTGGCTGTAGGTACGGTCTGAGCTGCAGCGGGCCGAAAGTGCTCAAATAAATGATTCATGTGGTCTGCTAAGGCAAATCTGAACGATTCAAGCGAAATTTCCGGGCGCCCTGTAGCCGGTGCGTGCCTGGCTGTAGGTACGATCTGGGCAGCAGACAACTGAATATGCTCCATTAACTCTTTCAACAGGTCTGATAAGTAAGGTTTGATTAAATCTAGTCGAAATTCAAAGACACACAATATGTTCGTCGACAAAATTTCCGGGTGCACTTTAGCCGGCGCGTGCGTGGCTGTGCGCAGGTACGGCCTGGGCAGCAGCGTGCTGAAGGCGATTCATCAACTGATTCACGTAGTCTGCTAAAGCAGATTTCATTAAATATGAACGATTTCTGCGAAATTCACGGGCGCCCTGTAGCCAACGCGTGCGTGTTTGGGCGCAGGTACGGCCTGGGCAGCAGCGAGCTGAAGGCGCTCCATTAACTGATTCACCACGTCTGCTAACGCAGATTTCATTAAATCTGAACGACTCTTTCCAAATTCCCGGACGTCCTGTAGCCGGCGCGTGCGTGTCTGTGTGGCTGCAGGTACGGCCTGGGCAGCAGTGAGCTCAAGGCGCTCCATTAACTGATTCACGAGGTCTGCTAACGCAGATTCCATTAAATCTGAACGACTCCTTCCAAATTCCCGGGCGCCCTGTATCCGGCGCGTCCGTGTCTGTGTGGCTGCAGGTACGGCCTGGGCAGCAGCGAGCTGGGCGCGCGCCTGCGCTGCGTGGCGGAGTGCGAGTGCGTGGCGGAGGCGGGCGCGGCGCTGGCCGGCGGCGGGGAGGTGGTGCTGCGTGACGGCCGCCTGGCGCGCGTGCGGCGCCTCTTCCTCTACAGAGCCTCCTCCTCGGCCGACGCGCGCGCCCCCTATGAGCGCCACTCCTCGCTCTCGCGCACGCGCGCCCTCGCGCCGCCCCACGCGCTCGCGCACGACGCCGTCAAGCTGCCCGAGTTCAGGTCCCGCCCGCGCCTTGCTCATTCAGTAGTTTCCGGGGGGCGTCGAACGCTGTCGTTAGTCCCAAAAGTATGGTGCGTGTTTTTATCGCGGGAAGTGGCGGTGATCATCCTCCGCTGGATGGCGACCGATGTAGACTTACGGGACACACAAAATGGTCTGCCGTAGCTTATAGGACGTTTTGAAGGGAAAGGGGGGAAAACAATTTTTCCACTTCATGGATCCCCCAAAAATGTATTTCCGTTGAAATTTTAAAATCGGTTTCCCGCAGAATAACGTAGCTTCTCTATATTACGTTATTATCCCGTATATACGTGCGTATATAGTACAAGAAAGTAAAAACATGAATATCAAACTTCTTATTGTCAATATCAGTAACGCCGTCTACGAAAGTAACTTGGGAATTTTTCACACCTCACACTATATGACGAACGTGTAGAAGGGTTTCATTGGCTCTTATACGAAAAGGTTTGCAATTGCAAAGGGGACAGAATGCAATACACATTAAATTAATTTATGTCTACTTTGTAAATGGTTCAGAGCAGACCTAGCATAATAAACCTTCTTTGTTTAGATTTGAGGTGGAGAAAACGCCCAGCAGTGAGTGGCAAACGAAGAAAGGAGGAAGGTACGTAATCACTTTGGCTATTTCCTTTGAGCATAGCAATAAATAATAGCAATGGCATTTAATTAGAAATAACATTGCAATAAATAAGTTCAATTAATGTAATGTATAGTACCAACAAAACAAACACCGGATCGTGGTGTAGCCGTCCCTACACAAGGTTGTGCTCCCGGACAAATTTCTCAAAGCTCTGACGAGTACAACAATTTTATTTCATTGAAGATTCGTAGAAGAGATCAGGGCTGGTTGTCGTCGGAAAGATCAGGTTCTTCCATCTGTGAGGTAACTTCCATAATCCCTTGCCTTTGTTTCACGTTACCGTCACGACCTAGCCAACTTCCCACAGACGTCTCAGTACGATCACTGCAACGATTGTGGAATCGTGATGTCCAATGTGTTTGGAAAGATTTATTAGATTTTGGAATGTAATACTTTCGAAGTTTAATGAATGTCTGCTGTTATACTGGGAAGGAGTTGGTCTGCTCTTCCAACGTTTTCAGCAGCAACCTTCAACCTTGCTCTTGCTTTTCTTGTATCAAGATTTTTGTTTTCAGTTTCATTTTCACATTGCGGTCATTTTTCTTAAAAAATCCTGTTCGGTACTGATTGACACTTCTTAGTTTGGTTCGCCGTGACACGACGCAAGCCATTGCAATTCCAGATCAATTATTGAATGGAGGTGAACCACCAAGGAGACTGGATGCAAACAGCCCAGTTTGGATGATAGAAGATGTTTATTAAATTATATATATATTATTCGTATTGTTTATTATTCGTACTATTTATTATTCATATTACATTAAAAATTTGTTTCTTCACTCAAGGGACTCACAAGACTGTCCAGTTCTTTATTGGATAACGACTCGCCCTTTCCTGACACTTCTTTGGATTATTTTAAGAACATACGTCACTGCCAATCCTCTTGACACCTTTCTCCCTCAAATGTAATCATTAAGATTACTCCTCCCAAATTTGCGAGTTCCTCTTGTGATTAAAACGTTTTGAACTGAAGTGTATATGAACGGGATCTAACACTTTGTTATTATAGGTGTTGTGGTAGGATATCTTTGGCATTTTTAAAATAATTAAAGATGTTGTCATTGATGATGGCTAAGCCATCGAAAGCTGCTTTTGAATTAAAAAAACATTGTTGGCAATAACATCTTTAATTACTTTGTTATTAACCGTGTGATGTTTACTTTTCTACATACTGTGGTTGTTATTGATTTATTTTTCTAACATTTATTATTTTTCGATTTTTTTATAACCTGCAACTTTGCCAGGGTCGCCTATCGCTAGTTTAAGTTCTCCTTTGCTTGTATTGCAACAGCTGTAGTTGTCAATATGAGGTAGCTTTACCAGACGAAAATGTGATGAACTTGTTTGTTTTAATTGTGTAAAAAGAACATTGAAAAATGATTCGTTTTAACATTGATTTGTTACTCCTCAGACTCACGGAAGTAGAATGCCAACCTACTCGAGGCAAGTACCAATGCCTACTACACCAATCAACCCTATAAGTGGGATTAGTGGCTATATGTTAACTCGAAGACTTTTGACGACTAAACGTTTATAAACATTCATGAATAAAAACTACAAGGTCGCGTAATAAATGCAGTTTCCCTAGATATAATCAAATTTTCCACAACTAAGCCAGAGTTGCATAACAATAAAAGCTAACTACTGGTGTCAACCAGCCCCGGTTTTCCTATTGATTTCAAGAAACTATTGGAGGTGGGAAATAAATTCACGAATAAAAACAGATTTAGAGAAGTCCTAACTTCAGCTGACCTGACTGGTATACCTGAAGTAGCAAAGAGCCAAAATTAAATAAATAATTCATAACTTGATTTTCACGGAAAAATACTTTTCCTAAACATATTATTTTAAGCAAAAATATGCCTGAAGTGTAAACAAAGTGAAAAACATGTCGGCCCCATGGTAAGAAGTGTTTGTTACTTTTGCACCAAAATTAGTCAACTAGAAGACAAATATGGATGAATTATATTGTTGTCAAAGAACTTTCTTTTGTTTAGACTGTCAATGTACCCGGACGAGGAGGGGCCCATCTGCGCGAAGCCTTGCAGATGCGGCGTCGGAAAGTACGTCACACGACATTTTTTTTTCACTCGCCATTAGTTACTGCACTTTTTGACAATAATATCAACGCAAACTAATTTACCAGTTATTAAAATCGTTTGATTCAGAGAAAATAACTGACGAGGTTGTAATATACAAACTCCGTTCTATGCGGTATTGTCTGTGAATCGTTAAAACTTTTCGTAAATTCAACGTCATAAAATCAAAAAGTAATATAAATAAGAAATAATTATTTTGGGGTAGGAGTTTTTACACGTCACTTACAGGAACAATTGAAGGGTTTTAATAAAACAACAAATATAGGCCAAAAAATCAGGAGAGCGAAAAAACGTTCCATGCTGAAATTGGTAGACATTTGAAGCATGAAAATTGTATTGTACTTTCTCAAGCTATTGCAATACTAATAAACGTTTGAGTGTAATTCAAGATTGAACTGTACTGTGGAAATTATTGGATAAAGTGAGGTGTGTATGAGTTACGGTGCTTTTTTCAAAAACTTAAGAAATTTGTACATGAAAATTATTTATTTGACGCAGTAATATTATAATATTTTATGTATTAATGCAAGAAGTTATTGCAATTAATCAATATCAGTCTTTTCCTTTTCCATTTTTGAATGTGCAACTTATAAGAAATTTAGATATAAATCTCCGTTAGTAGGATTCTGTAAATATTTAGACAACTTCTGCAGATTCCTTTGTGATTGAAACATGCTTTTCCAGTAACCTCCTTTGCTCTTACTATATCCTCTTTCCTTTCTTTCTTTGGTTTCCGTCTCTTCCACTCTGTTGTTTATACGCTTAACGTATAATCCATTTTTTAGCTGTTTCTTTCTCCCTTGCTTGCTCAGATTCACAACACAAAGGACATGTATGTCAGGTAATACACTATCACTAAACGTCCAGGACCAAAATACTGGCTATCCAGAATAACCACATTCACAAAACATCATCTATTTGCAGATTGAGATAAGCTATGCTTGAGAAATAATCACAGAGAAAACTTACATTTAAAGGCCTATGGTTCTTTTACCAAAAAATACACTGAACTTCGGTTCTTTTGTCAAAATCACTCAAACTTTCGGATGTAATAACTACGGACAGGGGCGATTTTGTTCACAGCTACACAGTCAGCAGATGACGACAATGAAGCTCTAGCAGCAGTTCTAGTATCTCAAAACGTCATTTTTTGGCCTAAGGTAAAAAAAGAACTACAAAACATCAATCCATTTCTTTCGGTAGTTCTTGACGATCGGCGGAAGTAAAATACATAACGAATGTCAGCCATAAGATTGGCTGAATATTCCACTGAAATCGATAGAAAAGTATTACGAAAAGTATTTTGAAAGATAACTACATTTTATTAACTTTTACTACAGAAAACTGTTCCTATTTTGATTAATAGATGGGTACTGAGTACACGAAATGGTCGGAATACAAAATACTGTGTTAGCATCTCCCAATCAATCTTGTGATTGACAAACGTTCTAGCTGTTTCACACGCCACTTGTCTCTGCAATACAAAAAATGTAGTAGTACTGCTGAGAAACGAGAAAGATATTAAATCTCCAGACACAAGCACAACCTATCTTCTCTATCTTCCTGCCTTTCTTAGTAGTGACTCTGGCTCACTCTAACGAGTAGAACTTGAAATAGACTTTTTGTGTTATACTCTAGTTCATACGTCCAACTCTGTCCGTTAAACCTGCTTACGAAATGGTGACATCCTAGATGAGGAATTATAATTAATGAGAAATAATATTTTATACGTCCAATCCATATATCACCTAAAGTTCCTGTTTAAAAACGATAAGTAAATCGAATTAATTAATTTAAAAAATGATTCAGTTCATTCGTATGATGATATGCTAATATTGTCTCGTTCATTCGCAATGTTTAGATCCGACCAGGATCCTGGAACAAAGATGCGACTGCCTTCTAAAGATCAAGATAAAACGTAAGCTGGTGGAAGGATTTGGTATATTGCAAACATATTAAAGCGAGAGGAAATATTAATAAGCTTCCTAAAGGTCATTCCAAAGAGAATCTGTTGAATTATTCGCGCAATGTTCCTGACGTCATACAAAATTAGGATTGATTCCATGAGATGTTAACTACCGTTTGAGAACACGTAGACGTAGGTGATACGTCAATGAATAATAATTAAAGAAGAAAAGAACAAAGTTTATGTAATTCATGGTACATGTACTCTTACTTGATAATAAAATACTATACCGTAGATGAACTGTGTGGTTGTTCTACACACATTTTATGCACATTCCTTCATATACAGCACATAGTTACACTTCTACAAGAAACATTCAGAAATGTTGGTTCATAAAATGTGCGGTCTAAATTGCGATGAGATTCTGCATCAAGAAAACATTCTCTTGTTTTCGGTTACTCGTGAGTTGGTATCACAGAAGCTGCGATTGGTTATGTGCACGAATTGATTAAAAATAATAAAATGTTTCATTTTCACAGCATTTCCACCTCAACAATTTTTTTCCACTAAGCAACATTTAACGTCATTTCTCATGATTTAGGAACATGGACGACCTCTGGCCTGATGACGAGGAAATAGACATGATTCGGAAAATGGCCCGAGATTCCCTACTCGACCAGTGGTTGACATACATTAACGAGTAAGTGCATTTCAACAAATTGCCGGGATTCAACAAAGTAATCATGATTACAGATATGTTCATTCCAAATTATATTTCACTGTTCGAACTGATAATTTCTTACCTATCCCTTTTCAAAAGACATAGAGGCACAAATCTCTGACAAGTCGAATTTCATATGGCAAATAATTTTAATAAATTTTAATATTAAATAAACGATTATAATATATAAAATGTATGTAGAAAAATGTGGTGGTTTTTATGACCACAGTATTAGTACGTCTTTTTTAAGAATTTTCATTTTAAAACTTCCTGAAGGACGAGTAGCCAATATAACTCACCGTCTCGTTCCGACTTGTAAGCATCTCAATTTCCTTAAGTTTATTGTCCCTCATACAACAAACTGACATGCTCTAGAATATTGTAACATTTATTCCAAGGCAGTCTATATCCCGCGAATAAAAAGCAATTATTGGAGCTACTATTTTTCCATTTTCATTACCTTGAAAACGAAGAAATATATAGAAAAATAACTCAAAGATACGTTACTTTTGAAGCTTCCCTCACACCTTTCATATAGGTTAGAAAATAATTGTAGAACTATAGATACATTGTAAGAAGGTTTAGAAATTTTTCCTCCAATCGAATAAAACACAATCGGAACGCATTCTTGAGGTTCCTTATTATTATTTTCTTCAATAAAAGGTATATCAATTTGATGCTAACGAAATCTGTCTAACCTTCTCAGGAAACACTCTAAATCTTCCGAAGAGGAGACGACACAGCCCGCACCGACATCGCAGATTTCTGCGGAACGTCTTCGGAAAGAAGACGACGATAAACCACAACCCGATACGCACTCCACTCCAGAAAATATTGAACAAACCGTACCTGCTCCCAATGAGTTAGACGAGACAAATATGAGGTGTGAAACTAGATAAATAGTACAGACTATCCAGCATGTTCGGATATTGGTATTACTTGACACAATCATGGCATTTTTTGACGAAATCAATTCACCTGTTTTCTCAATTCTTCTAAAACGTGCTTTGGGGTTGATACATGAGCATCTGGAACATCTAGATGCTTAATTTATTAACACAATTGCACGTATTATAAGACTTTTAATTTCCTAATTATTAATTATATTTTTTACTAGTATGCTAATTGTTAGTGGATTCTGTCGATTTTCAGTATCTTAAGTTTTAAGACAATCAGTGGAATTGTTTTTTAAAAATCAGTAAAATATATTTTATGTAATTTCATAGAAATAACTAGTTTTGTATTTCAGTTACGTTTCACGAATGATGATGGCGTTTATGACACAATAAAATATACAAATAATCAACCAGAATATATTACAATCACGTGTGTATTCTCTAAATTCAACTTTTCTAACTACAACTTAATAGAATACCAGTTTGTTTCACTCAAACACAGTTAAACATACAGATGAATATACAGTGAAGTTAACCATAACTATTAATTTATTTTTTGTTAACAGTTCCATTCACAGCAGTTCATCATCTTTCACCTCCGACGAATCTGAAGAGGAAGGAAAACCAAAAAATCTCTATTCACAAATCCAGCCACTGTATGTAATACAAATAGCTTAATACTTTAACGCAAAATGAAGAAATTGTAGAGGCGGACGCTCCAAATGTGCACAAAAAATTTATATACGAGCTCCTGGAACTCTAGATTTTATATAAATCACCATCCAGCCCCCTCCTACAACATAGTCTGAATGATGTACGATGCATTTCGAGAAAGTACAATTTTACTATTTCTCAACGACTATTGAAGAAGGAATCTGAACTGAGACGATCGATATTTCTATGTGCATATTTGGAATGTTCACGAAATTACTTACTAATTACTTAGTAATTTTTTCACATATATTTTCTATAACATTTAATTACACGAAATAATCGAGCAAATGGGCATTTTTTCTCTTCATTGGATCAGTGTGATTTGCTTTACTCCACAACAACAACAACAACAACAATAATAATAATAATAATAATAATAATGCTAAGGCGATCAACTGTAGAAAGTTAAATTGAACCTTACAACGATAAACCGTTCAATACTGTCCTTAATACTTTCCTTCCAATGCATTACATAGTACAGCGAGGAAATATTATTGGAATAATTTCACCAATACGATCATAAATTTTCGGTCGTAAAATCGGTGATTAAGGTTTTATTTTACGCGTAACTTCCCACCCCGTCAGGATTAATGTCTATTAGTGTTGTTAGTTAATTAGTAGATAAGTTAAGATTGGCGCTGGCGGAGAGGAGATACATCCCCCCCCCCTCGAAAATCAGGATGTCTGTGTGTATAAATGTGCCACGCCAAACTCTGTCAGATTAGAAGCCTTTGAGCAGAAACTTCGTAAACATGTTAGGAGTAAGATCTAATTGTGCCGTTCCACGGATCGTTACGATATTTTAATTTTTCTAGGGGTACTCTATATGAAGGTAGCCCTACGGACAACGGGCCAGTGTCCTCGCTTTCCATGATGCGATCTTGGGTTCGATTCCCATTCGGGACGGATTAGTGTGTGTACTTTTTTGGATATGTCCCAGTGCCTGTTGCATTTATCCGTCAGTTTTAACACTTTAAATGATTAACGATTTTTAAAAAATTATCTGAATTGTTGACCAGAGGAGAAAAGAGTTTTGGTATACAGCGCATTCTCTCTAGGGTGCTTTTTTTAACAGAGTTCAAACTCGAAACTTCCTATATGTTTTCACGCTCTCCGCTTTTACCCCCGTAGACAGCATTAGTGATGTTAAATTATGAAAAAAATATTAGTGATGTGATATTAAAGAGCATCCCTAGTCGACGAGTGATATCAATGTTTCTCATTTTGTTTTCACAGTTCCAAATCGCAAGGGCAGGTTATGTAGCCAGAAGTGCTTAAGGGGCGTGAAAGATTCCTCTCCAAATAAAAAAAAATCCTGCCTTATGCTCTTGCATCTCTTGTGATAGTTGTAATTATTAAATGAACGAAATTCTGATTTACCATCTAAAAATATGGTAAATTCATTCAACCTAGATTATTCATCGTGATGGAAACGCGAAAATATTGCACCGGAGGTTCGTGGAACGTTCAGTTAAAAAGGTCTCCGTTACTTTGGTTGTGTTCTCTTATCAAATGTTCACCTGCCGACGTCTCCCAGAAAGAATACTCGCTACAGTCCTAACGTACAAAACAAGAGACCAGTTGTTCTGTGGATCAAGGGAAAATTGACGAAAAACTATCTCAAACTCTAAAATCTGAACCTTCGTCTGTTTCAAAAGTGTTTCACCTCTTGTTGAGCGTTTCTTAGTTGCCTTTCTCTTCATATTTCTCCAACATTCGTCCTCTCACGACAAAAGGCTATGTTGAGAATGCTTGTCAAATGTTTCGAACAGAACTCCACTCGACATAAAGCCGCCTTCCTCTCGCGCGTATATCTGTTTGCCGCGCGTCGACGAAGAGTCAAACATATCCACAAGCAGTTCATCAGAACACGCTTCTGAAAGGTAAGGCACTCAAATCGCATCAATTGGCGCCCATTTGTGTTAACAAACACGAGTAAAGATTTTCAATGTTTTTAAATTCAAGCATGGATAAGCGCGTTACTCATCTTTTACTGTGCAGCCGATAAGTACTCACCACAAGGGACGTGTGGTTCCTGAGAGAGTGGTTTTTAAGTGATTAGGAGGGAATTTGATGATGATCTATTGTTCTGAATATTTGAAGTAAAAGCTCCTACACATTTTCTGATAACCCACCTCACTTAAATTATCCTTATGCGCATGTGTAGTAATTTAGAGCATATTCTCTGAATTATCTGGAGATGCGACTGAGAAAATTCTATTCACTATGGACATCATTAATAACAAAAATATTAAATTTGAAAAATGTCAAATCTAGAGACCATTTTTCATGACACATTGGACCTTTCCTTAAACTCGCCGGGACTCTGAATGTTTTCACTTCATGATTTGTAAACTTCAGACAAGAAGATTTAAAGCCGGAAGCGTCTCAGAATCCACCACCAGTGAAACTTCGAACTCCTAAGAAAGAGGAAACGCTCATAAAACAAGATGACACGCATGGAAACAACAGTCCGGGAAGGTAATATTCTAATTTAATATAAACATTTAATAATTCAATTTAAATTAATTTAAATTTCATTTAACTTATATCATAGCCCCGCCAAAGGAATGTTCTTTTTGAAATAAAGGTTTGTAAAACTTATGTTTCAGCTCTTCATCAGAAGCTGAAGGAAATAAGAGAATTTTTTCATCTCGCCGATCAATGAAGTAAGATATACTGATAAAACAATAAAAATAATATAACTTAACAATGAATATTAATTTAATTAACTATCATTACGTAATAGTGTGTGACAAGTTTTGATCGCTAAACGAGAGAGTTTGCTTCACAAAAAGACAGTGAACATATCTCGTTTTTACAGTTGTAAATATTCAAAAAGTTAGGACCAAGAGACTTACGACATCATTTCCTAAAGACAATACATGATCAAAAAGCATATCATGAGAAAGCAAAATTAAGAATAGAGTGCAATGCTCAGACACCCGAAATGTCATCAATATGGTCATGTGAACTGGACCCCAGAAGGCATGGGCAAAAGAGCTTCAAACTATTGCATATTTTATCATTTGAGACATTACCAGTAGCGACAAAAACATGACTTTCATTAAGTCATAGCCATATGACTTTTATCAAATGCAAACAATTGTGCAACGCAATGTGCCTAGGCGAATATAACAAGTATCAGAGGAACAAATTCTACTCCATATTGGGGTGTGGCAACAACAGCAAATAGCTAAAATTTTACCTGGTATTCCTTTAGGGACTCCATAAAATCGCCTCGCTGTCCCGTCATTTTTAAATTTACCTATAGAAAGTAGAAACACAATGTAGTGAAGCGTGATCAAAATTATGAATTTTTATTTTTGTTTCTTGAAATATTTCTAAGAGATTACTTTCCAGAATTTTCAAAAGGTTTCCCGTTTTCAAAGGATTATGTGAAAAAACAAAGAATCAAGTCAACTACCACACATCTATCTTCTATCCCAGCCGTATGGTACCTTCATTTGAGCCCATGTTTTTATTCAACTTTCATTTCATTAACCTCTCTCATTTTATAGCAATCAACATTTGTTTGTATAATGCTCATATCGTTTTATTACAGACAGAAATATCAGGAAAATGATACATCTGTCCAAAAAGATTCCCAGATTGAACCCCAAAATTTACGTGATAGGTGAGTGACCCAAATATTATATAATATACATTAATGTAAGCAAACTGAAGGACTAAGAGGAATGATACAAAGACAGAATTCGTAACAAAACGTGAGGTTTTATCACGTGCATTCTACTTTGTGTAAATTAGAACTTTGTACGCAATGGGTTTGAAGCATCTGGGAGGATCCGAATGAAAGAAATAACAGAATGACGAATTTCTTAGGAGGCTAAAAAAACAACAAAAACTACAGGTCATCCAAAACATCCAAAACTTCCAAGAACACACGCAAGAAAACTTAAATCCCTCGTGGCTGTTTTCACACGACAATGATTACTTTGGACGTTGCGTACCAGCGGTTGCAGACACAAATTGGTTGTTGAATATTTCTTTCGCGGAGCCGCCCCTCCCTGAGAGCGTGCGTGCGCGCACCCTCCCGTGCTTCCTTTCGCACAGACCACAGAAGCACACGAGTTACTTTCATTTATTTTCTGCAGTGCCGCTCAAACTCCGGTGCAAGCGGTGAAACGCAAAAGGGCGGCAAAGATTTAGGCAATTTAAAATATCTGCATTATTTTTATTTTAAAATTTAAAATAATTAAAAATTAATAACATTTATTTTTTTAATAAATTAAAAAAATCTTGGGTATTATTTACAAATATAAACACTCACCTTCAGTGTTAATTCAGTGTTAACAAGCATATAAATTCACTAATTCATTATAAGTAGTACAATTTTCGGCGAATTCATACATTTCGGATAATATCGGTTACCTTTATTGCTCATGCGGTTGCTGTGAAGTAGTCTGTTGTCTCCACAGTCAAGAGTCTGAATAAGCTAAATATAAACCATGTAACAAAATTCAAAACATTACAACACGGGTGCGGCAAAAAACAACGAAAACGCAAGGACGCAAATTACATTGGTGATTGTGCCGCCCTGATTATTTGACATGCATTTTTTGGAAGTCTGCGTCATTAGTGATTTCCAAAGATTTGTGAATTTTGTGGGGAATTTGTTTTAAAATGGCAATATAGATGACGCAAAAATCTTTGTATACAATAGAATATGCCATTGTCGCAATGGATTCATACCCTGAAAGGCAATTTTGCACTAATTGATATAAAGATTAAAATCGGCTTTCTTTGTATTTAATTGCAAGTCAACTAAAGGTTTTATTTTCACAGCGATTCGTCCAACCTCCAGTTGAAGAAACTCACGTCACTCGAAGCAAAAGAGATTGAAAAAGAAGCAACCAAAGTACGAGAGCTGATTGACTCCCGTAAGAGGTATGGAACTATAAAATAGGGTTTAGAAAATATGGTATATTGCTATAAAGAAAACATTTTAAAATGCCACTAACAAGTAATAAAGAATATATTAATGAGTTTGAATCACGAACTAAGTATCAGTGGCCAAATTTACTAGGAGGAAGAAGCTCGTATCAGCACATTTCACTGACTGTTTTGGAAAAGTTCAAATTTTACACTTTTTGTAATGTAGAATTCCTAATATTTGGTTCCACTATTCACTAATATTCTGATTATAATTTTTGTATTAATGAAGTTCTGCATCATCATCAACAAATTCTCTGGACCTTGCCCAGACGGACAGTGTCAAGGATAACAGCAGTGAGTAAGTAAAAATAATCACTATTAACATTATTATTTTCTATTTTTCAAATTTCAAAACGTTGCAAATGGACTTGCAAATGGAAAATATACTTTATCATAAATATGATTTTTCTCGCATTTATATATACAGATCAATTTTTCAATAAATACTAAGAATGTAACTTCTATATTAGTCAAACATGCAAATATATTCCACATAGATTGTTTCCAATGGATTTCTATTAGAGCTTGATATACATGCATACACACATATTTTTCATTAATTGTACGTCTTAGACAAGTCCCTTGGACATTCATCGATTTACTTATTTGACCATATTTGTTTTCTCATTATAGAGTGAGTTGGGTGGAAATAGAAACAGATTCTCAAACTAAGATTTGGAAAGACTTGGACGACAGAAGCCATCAGGGTGGCCAGTAAGTACTCAATGAGATTGCACAAATGTCCTGAAAAAGAAAGAACTGCTAACCAATAACTAATACTATTATTATCAAGGTTATCTACTGAGGAGCGTACAGAATCCCTCAGATCAGTGAGATCAATAAGATCAGCAATATCAAGAAATTCAGAAGATCTTCAACGAGAGTTTGAGGAAACTCTCATTGAACCCATATTTCATTCACAAGGACAACGGGATGGGAGAGGTAATAACCACATAAGGCATTTCATAGTGTGATTTTATAAATTCTCCATAATGTGTGACCGTTGTAATTAAAAAAGAAAGATTTAAGAGAATAAATACAGTAATAATGAAAATAAAAGCACTGGCCAAGATTTGCTTGTCCATTAAAAATACTATTTATATTGTATTAGAACAATATCAGAAAGTGCGCTGACTATAAGATAACTTTTATGATACATAAAACCATCAACGTTTTAGCTAATGTTATTCATTAATATTCAGTCTGATTGTTGCATTTCCCCAATAGGACAAAATAACAAAATGTTACTTTCTAAATAATAAATATTGTCTCATTATACTGTAACTATCGGGATAGTACACAAAGCAGCAATTTTGTCAGTTCTCATTTCTAACTTTCACTGTTTTCTGTTTTCAGGTAGACGTTTACTGATCTTACTTCTACATTCTTCTCCACCAAATGAGCCTTAGATTAATGAAAGATTTATCTGCATTGAAACACGAAGTATTCAAGATCATAAACTATTTTTTATAAGTTTTATTTGGAAGACAACAGGCAAACATGCTCGTATTTCATGATTTTGTTAAGAAACTCCTTTTGTAAACAAAATGTAATAATTGTTATAATTACAAAATAGAGTTATTGAAAGCGCTACTCTGAACAGTAAAGAGACACTAAAAGTGGATTTGTCATGCCTCATTATCATCAAATTCAATTTTCTTGTAATTTCTTAAGATCATTATAAACAGTAAAAAAACATTTTAATAATACACTTTAATTACACAATTTTTTACTTCTTTCTGACCCAGCTAACGATAAAATACTACCAATGGATTATTATTTTGCTTATAGTGTTATTCTGTAAGGTATAATGTTCTTTCACAATGCAGACTGAAATATGATCACCGACTTGTTTTGACTAAAACATTTACTTCTCGTCGAATTACACGTTACTGGAGGTGAGAAATCATAGCACACAAATGAAGATTGTGCAAGGACAATTTGTAATGTAGCGGAACAAACACGAAATCCGAATAAAAGCCTACTAACAACCTGATACTAAATGGACACTGATCAGCCAGGTGGACAAAAGAGGACCAAACAACAACTAGACAAAACATTTAAAAGTCCCTAATGAAGAGAGCGAAGGTTTGAACACGAGATTCAATAAAGACAATGGATTGAGTGCGAGTTTTTATAATTTAAATAGACTGGGTATCCACTCTCTTAGCCCGGGGAAAAAATATAATAAACAAACATTGGATCATGGGACTTGGACTCGTTCAGTTGACTCTAGCGTCACCGGTCTTCTCTCAGAACCAAACAACAAATGGAACCAAAATAATGCTGCTTCTCCCTGTAATTGCAAATGAAGGAATGGGGTAGATTCTCACTGGTCTGCTTTGGACGAATTAAACACAGAGCAAACCAACAATTGCAGGAAAATATTCAAACTCATCATCTTATAATTGTGAATGAGATGGATTCTCATTGTCATGTCGTCGTATGGCTAATCAAAAAGCTTAACACAAATGGGCGGCAAGGGTACGAACACGTTGAAAAGAGAAATGTGGGATGTGTTTTTACTGGTTCTCTGGTCGGAGGGTTAAACAAGGACTAGAGAATAATCGGGCGGAGCGTGAATACGTCTTAGGGGTTGTCTATAAAATACGTAACTCGTAACACGAGGAGAGGGGTTTTTTTGGCAGCGTTACACAGGGGTATGTGGACGTTAGCTTCATGTAACACTATTTTTTTAACATTTGATGAATTTTTTTAGTTTTATATTAAAACAAAAAATATTAACTAATTATTTTTTGAAAAATTAAGGAAATTAAAGTATGTGTAAATTATAACAATACATGTAAATATTACTCATTAATGTTTTAATTTAATGTGTACGATTACTAAGAAAATATTATCTATATTATAAAATACAATAAAATAGGCATGGTAGACTCTCCCCAAGCGACATCCACGAGAGCGAGTGAACGGCTTTGTTGTGAAACATTTTCACGACTATGTGTTTTTCCATGATCCAAAATTTGTCCAAATCAATTGTTAGGTGTATTTAATTATGACTTAAATTATCACAAATTGTAATTATATAAACGCAAATAAAATTAATACAAATTGTTTTTACTGCAATATAATTGCTTTTTACTTTTTGCAAATGCAGTAGGGTGGTTTTACGAGGTGTTACATAATTATTAGGGGGAGGGGGGTTCAAGCGAGCGTGACAGGGGGAGGCGGGTGAATCAAAATACTCAAAATTAAAGTGACGTAATTTATGAACGGCCCCTTAGGTAAAGGGGAGGGAGCCCCGGGGGGTAAAGGGGCGGGGTATCCCATTACGAGCGAGAGTACTCACCGGCGTGCTGGGCGGAGGGCTGGCGCGCGGCGGCGTCCGGCGTCGCGGCGCGGGTTGCGAGGGTTGGAGCCGGGCGGAAGCCCCGCGCTGGGGCGGCGGCGCGGCTGAAGCGGCCGGGGTAGCGCGCGACTTGACGGCGTGGAAGTGTGTGCATGCTGTGCGCCTTGAGGATGCCGGCGGCGCCGGGGCCCGCGGCCGCGGAGGGGCGGCGGCGGCGGTGGCGGCGGCCGTGGACGTGGCAGGCGCGGCAGCGAGTTGGTGCCTGCGCTGCACGACGTCTGCAGGCTGCGCGGGGAGCGTGTGGAGCGACCGGCGGCCAGCTCGCCGCCCGCGCCGCCGCGCTGCCGCCGTCGTCGTCGTCCACGGTCGTCGTGTCGTCATCGTCGTCGTCGTCGCCGTCGGCCGACGCGCCCGAGCCGCCGCTGTGGTGGTGTTGGCGTCGGGCACGGAGAGCGGCGGCGCGGCCGCCCCCAGATGCCCTCGACGCTGCCGCGATGCTGCCGCACGAGCGCACGCGGTCCAGGTGGTCCGCGGCTGTTGCCCGGCTGTTGCCGAAGAGCAGGTCGCCCGCCGAGCGCCGCTTGCCGGACGCCGCCGCGCCCGCGGGCTCCGTCGCCAGCCAGCGAGAGGCGCTGTGCGCGAGTTCGTCGCCATCAGCGCCGACTCGAGCTTCCTCGCCACGAGAAGCGCTCGTAGTCGCTGCCCGCGCGCCTCGCGCTCCTGCAACACGGCCCACCGGCGCGCGTTTCACGGTGCACTGCGGAGCAGTTGCGTTGGAAAAGGTTTGGTTCAAGCAAACCACACATGGCTCAATGCGCTGACTGCGCACTCAGGATGCCGGGTTCAAGCCTCGTGCCGGCCATCCTGACAAGGGTTTTCGTCAAAGAAGTCGTAGACTTCCGCGACCAGAGTCATAGTGAGTGATCTGGCTGTCCGGTGACGCCGCGTCGAAGGCTGAGTTGCCGACGTTTCGACCATCCTGTCGTGGTCTCCTCAAGGCTGGTCGAAACGTCGGCAACTCAGCCTTCGACGCGGCGTCACCCGGACAGCCCAGATCACCCAAGGGTTTTCGTTGTTTCCCTCGGACATCCAGGGAACGCTGGCATGGTTCTAATGAAGGTCACGACTGCGAAACCGCGCATCGCTAGCCAAATTCGTTAACCAAGTGAAGTCAGGAAGGTTAAGCGAATTCGTGGCATGGGGGGTTCTGGATGGGTGACAGTCTAGGAACCAGGATCTAACGGCCATTGCCTTTCGGGACATTTAGCGGCCAAATAAAAAAAAAACACCACCACCAACAACACAGAATGACATTCATTTCACGAGAGAGTGGCAGATGGAAGGGGAATGAAACAATCATGGAACCGATTTTCGTACATGTACATACACATACGTTTAATTTGAAAAGAATTGAAGGTTTTTTTTCGTTTTGCCGTGCTTTGCATTCCCCTCTCCATTCCAAGTTAACTGTCATTCTAAATATCATATCTTCAACGCATTGCCCAACGTTGGTGCAGTATTATATCTCGTCGATAGCCCATTACTATTTTGGGATTGAAACTACTTTCTTGTTGGTGTCCGGGAATTCCTCCAGTCGATAACGAATAGATAAATCTTTGTCGGTTCGCTAAATTTATATAATTCCCCATGGAAGAGAAGAGGGGCTCAATAAGATGTTGAAATAAAGGTAATGGTTTGAGCGGTTTTTTTTATATACTAAATGAATAGACAATACATCTATTCTTCTTCCAGGGGCAAAAGCATAGCATAAATAAACTTGAATTAAGGGGCTTCGACACCTGCAGTTGACGCCAGGGCCACCGCCTTTTGCCCCAGAACAAAACAACAAAGACGAAAAGAGCACTTTCCTGCAAATAGAAGGAGAGGGGTGGATTCACGTCGGTCTGGGGGTGGATTAGACAAAGAGCAAAACAACAATTGTATGAAAACGATACAAACGCATCTTCTTATAATAGTAAATGAAGTAAAGAGGTGGATTCACATCTGCCTGTTGGTAAGCTAAACAGACGGTAGTGAAAGCTTTATTGATTTCTTTATATTTTTTCTCCTTCAGTATAAATAGAAGAGATGTAAAGTATTGGAATCGATACAAATAGTCGAGGTCGTAATTTCGGTGGTAAAAATAGTTTTGAGCGTCAATGAAACGAAACAGTGTTTTTCATAATAGTGTCTGCATCGATGGATGTATTGTGTAGTTGGAAAGATTAGAAGCTTTTGAGCCATAACTTTGTACACTTGTCAGGAATAGGGTCTATTGGTATCTGTTTAAAGACGTTAAGTATTGGTAAGGTTTGTAAAACCAAAGAAGTGCAACTTCACTTTTCGTTAAGCGCGCGAGTTGAGGGAATACTTAGTTACGCAGATCTCTCCGACCCAAGTTTCCACCGCTCACATCTCCTGGCTCACAACACAAGAAAGGAATTAGTGAGGAAATAAACACGTTTTAAATGAAAAATGTTAAACTTCGTCCAATTCTTCAGCTTTACTTAACGTATGGCACTATGATCAGCTCTCAGGCATTTCACATATCGTAAGACGAGGAAAAGTTTCGGTATACACGCATCCTCTAGTTTTTGTAACACATCTTTTCTGAGTGTAAAAAACACGTTTAATAAACTGTAAAGCTTTATTACGAATTATATCTACACGTTCACTCCGAGAAACGGTAAAATGGCGCCGAGTATCCGTTATAATAGTTTTATTCAAGGTCACTAACCCAGTAGTGCTCGAGTGCCTTTGAAATCGTTAAAACCCACATACACTTGGGAAGTGATGGGTATTAGGGTAACACAATGCCTGTCGTTTTATGTATAAAGTTGGCTTAAACCTTATAACGAGTAAAACATTGATATTTAATACAAAATCGATTTAAAAAAATTCAGATCGATCGAATTTTCTTCTTGTTTCCCTGTCAATGTGAATCGAAGTACGAAACCATTTGTCTTACTTGTTCCTTGATAATTATGATACACTGAATTAGTATTTAAATTATATTGCGTTAATTTGCAATGATTTTCTAATGCCATCCACCTACCACGAGGTGAAATTAAGCAGGCCATATGGGAGATTCGAAACCGCAGCCGGCTCGCGCCCAGAGCAACTGCTGCCGCACCTGCGTCAGTTCGGATGGCAACTTTCCCTTCGCATGCATGAAAAGTCGATTATGTGCACTCATTTAAATTTTGCATGCGCGAAAGAGATAGAGAGATACAAAAAGAACGAACATACATTCCATTCGGCTGTAAAATATTCTTATTTTCTGGTTTGAGGGAGTTACAATTACTGTGGCGAATAAGTTTTGAAAATAAGGAAAAGGAGTATAATTTATAAACATTACGGTACTTTCGAAAAGTTATTTTCCTCAAAAGAAATGACGATGCCAGAAGCGTCATCACTTAGATATCGTGGGAAGGAAATTAATTAATGTAGATTCATTTTTCAAGTAATTCCAATATTTGAACGGAGAATCGAAGGGAGGAACGAACAATTAAAAGCCCCTTTACGTCCGAGTTACGCCAGTGGGTTTGATGTGTTACCCCAGCGTAGTTTCCCTGCCCTTGTTGAAGGAGCGCCGATTCGTCGTGTGTCAGACCTCACTTTCACTTCCAGTTCTGGATCACACGTTCGAGTACCAATCACGACCACGTCTCTGACCACAAACACATATATTTCAGAATGTAATTACAAAGGACTTATTGAAACATGACCCCAGGGTCTCTACACAGCTACTGAACTTTTATGATGTTAGATCTTTGGTGACTTGAATGCACGGCCCCAACCAAGCAGGTTGGTCACAGGTGCGAAATAAGTAACCAGTGTATTACGGTGAGTGTTCCGAGTAAGAACGGCGAGTGAAACAGAGTGAATCCTCACGTACGTTAGAAAATATGATCGTCGTCGTATATATCGTAAACGATATAACTAAAAAATAAATTATAGGTACAGTTTTAGTACTTGGTAATGTCCCACCACGGTAATTGTACGGGATACGATTCACCATTAGCTGCATCTTACACCTCACAATAGATGCAAATGTCATAAACAATCAAGAATTAAATGAAATAGATGAAAAAACCGAGTATGGAGATCATATAGAACATAAATAACCAGGAAGCTGACAGAATAAGTTATGAAGAAGGTTTTAAATGACGAGAGAGAAACGAGACCTGTCAAGGGAAAATAGGTTAAGTAGAATGGGAGAAAAACTACAAAAACTGAGGGTCTAAAAGGAACCGCAATCCGGAGCATGGATACGAAAGAGACCTAATGTAAGATATAATAAGTGGGTGGAGGAGGAGAGGATGGTGAAGAGTGAGAAAAAGAAAAGGATGAAGAAGTAAAAGGATACAATAAAGACCAAGAGCAGGGAGAAAACAATGAAGTTGAGTGGGAAAAGAAAAGGAAGGATGAGAAAAAAGGAAAGAGGAAAAAGTGGATGAGGAACTGAGGGATAAGATAAAGAATAGTGGAAAGAGAGATGAGTATGTAGAATCGAAAGCCGAGATAAAATGGAGAGAGTGGATGAAAAAAGGGAAAACGAGAAGTTAAAGAACAGTGGGGAAGACAAGAAGGCGATTATCGTGGGAGAGCGAAGGGAATAAAGAAGAGGGAGGAAAAGGATAGGATGTAGTAGAGTGGGAACTGCCGAAGTGAGTGCGAATAACATAGTGAGAAGATGCACGAGGAAAAAGAGAGGAGGATGAAGAAGAGTGGGAAATGAAGAGTGAATAAGGTGAGTGAGAAGAGTGAGGAAAAAGAGAAGAGGATGTAGAAGAGTGGGAAATGAAGAAAGTGTGAATAGGGTAGAGCAAAAAGAGTTAAAGAAAAGAGAAGGAGACGTAGAAGAATGGGAAACGAAGTATGAATAGGGCGAATAAGAAGAGTGAGAAAACCGAGAGGAGGAAGCAGAAGAGTGGCAAATAAAGTGTGAAGGGCGTGGGCGTTACCTCCCCGACGCCGCTGGAGCAGGAGGAGCGCAGCGAGGCGAGGCGGCGCGCCTCCTCGTGCAGCAGCAGGTCGTGCGACTTGGAGCGCGGCAGCGGCAGCAGGGGCAGCGTGGACGGCCCGTCCGCGCCGTCCGAGTCGTCGTCCTGCGCGCCGGCGCCGGCGCCCGCGCCGCTCGCGCCCGCCGCCGCCGCCTCCAGGTCCGTGTCCGTGTTGGTGTCCTCGTCCTCCTCCGTCGTCGTCGACGTGGACGAGATCTTCTGCTGCAGGCGCCGGTGGTGGTGCTGGTAGCGCACCTGCCGAGGGAAAAAGAAGGCGTTCGTGAGGCTCTTAGGGCCCCTTCCCATGTGCAACGGGCGTCCGTTGCTGCGGCAAGCGGTGGCGGGCTCTCGCAACGCGAAGCGGAGGAGGCCGTCACCGCTAGCCGAATATAGCTTTAAATGGGAGCCTTCCCACTGCGTGACGATCGCAGCGCAGAGCTGCTGTTTATACTTGCTGCGGTCCCTTTGTCCGTCGTCGCCGGAGGGTCGGTGAAGAGCCCTGCCGATTGACGTACGCGCTTTGCCGTGGTAAGGCGCACTTACTGCGCCTTCATACGTAGGCATGGCGGTGCTCTTCCGTCAAGCGACAGGTCTCTTGCTAGGCCGCCACCGCTGCACGCCACGGCCGCATCGCCGTGGAAGGGGGTGGGTTGTGCAGGGGTAGGTTTCGCCAACCCTCCGACGACGACGAACAAACGGACCGCAGCGGGTAAAACGCCGCAACCGGCGGCATAGAGGGAACGCTACCATTTAAAGCTGTGCTCTGCCAGCGGTGGTGCGTACGCCCTCCTCCGCATCGCGTAGCGTGAGTTCTCCGCTGCTTGCCTCAGCGGCGCAAACACACTGCACGTGGAAAGGTCTCCATTCCAACCAATGCTCTGCTACGAGCCGCGGTGTTCGGAAGCGCGCAGCAGTGGCGGCGTGTGAAGGGGCCCTTAGGCTCCCTTCACATGTACACACAGCAGCGCGTCACCGTACACCGCGGCTGGTAGCAGAGCATTGGTTTAAATGGCGCTCTCACCACGTGCGTCGGATTCGAGCTGCGGTGTCTTTCTGTGGTGGACGTTTGCCATGAGCAGCTCGAGATTCCGCGCCATCGCTAGCAAAGCATTGGTTTAAATGGAGCTCTCACCAGTTGCGTCGGATTCGGGCTGCGGTGTCTTTCGGTGGCGGACGCATGCCACGAGCAGCCCGGGAGGGATTCCGCGCCACCGCTAGCAAAGCATTGCTTTAAATGGAGGTCTTCCCACTGGGACACTCGCCGCAGCGTTTAACTTACACATTTCTTTGTCGTCGCCGAGGGGTCGGTGAAACTTACCCGCGCCGTACCCACCCCCTTCCATGGCGGGCGGCTGTGCGCCGGTGTCTTTCTGCGTTGTTCCCATGAGAAGGGCCTTGCCGCTTATCGGAAGCGCGCGACTGAGTACACGTCGGAAGGGGGGCTTATACTAGCAATCAGTCTCGACTAAAACACGCTCAGCGATGAACCTCGTTAACTAAAATTAACTCAACCCATTCTGATCACCGACACCTGTGTCTCTATAGCCGGTCCTGACCAAAGACCGATTGCATTTAGATATATTTTAAATTCTAGAAGATTTCATCGCCCCGTTTTTTCTTATACTGTAATTTTCGCAACTCTTCCCCCTGGCAGGTATCAGCTGTTGACAATTTCATCCAATCGGGAGCTTGAAGAACGTCACTATGGTGACGTTCTAGCTTCCGATTGGATGAAACTGTCAATAATTGATACCTGCCAGGGGCAGAGTTGCACAAATCGCAATATATGTATCACGTCAGGCTATACAGTGAAAGTTTCGGGATAGTCTTCATATATAATTGTTTTAGTTTGTTCCGATTTCGTCTCTAAAAGTAATAATTAAAAAAATGATACATATCAAGTGGAAAAGCGTGTAAAAATATTAAATTGGATTCTCTGATAACGAAATTAACAATTGAGATCATTCACATCGAACGTAAACGAACACAGTACAAACACAAAATGCCAAAGACTCGCAGTTTTCTCACGGATTGGTACTCTTCGCACCAACATTTTTAATCAAATAATAATCCAAGAAAATACTATTTATTTTAACAGAAGTTTAAAAAAGACAACTTTTCTTGAATTGCAGAAAAATTAGTTTTTTTTCATGTGAACATTCCCCTGCAGTAGAAATGACAAAAAACAATACGGAACACTCCAGCGCAAGTTTGGGAAGATTCGGATATTGAGGGCGAATTATGGTATGGCCCCATCAATTTCATTTGGGATGCCCATGTGACCCAATTGGTCACGTGATTGGCCCGAGAAGAGGCGCATGCCGCTGCAACTGCAATGTCGCGAGCGAGCGGACGCCGTTCAGGCAATGCGGGCATAACTGGAGCGCCTATTATCGCGCTATCGCTTCTCGCCCGCGCGGCTGGTGAAATCTAAGCTCCCGGGTTGCTAGTCGGCCTATTCAATGTCACTGATGGTCGAAGCTGGGAGCGGTTAGGGTATCACTGCTTAAATGTCATTAAAACTAATGTAGAACAATGCACTGTACATGAAACTTAAATGTACCTTGCAGACTAAAAATAGCTTAATGTTTTTGTATATTGAATTTAATGCTTCAATTAAAATCAGTGCAGATTTACTGTAAAGGTTCACCCGTTTTTCCTGACTCATTATTCATATCATATATTCATAATTAGCAGACTATCAAGATCATTCATTCATTCATTCATTCATTCATTCATTCCTTTCTTCCTTCCAGATGACCATAAAGCTTTGACTATTGCATCCTAATGTAATGTGTAATTCAATTTGCTGTGCTTTTATGATATGTTCTTTAATAAACAAATATTAAAGTAATGCAGAAATTTCTGACAGTGCATTGAGTGGGGGAGACACCCATGATCAGAAAACGTCCAATTTAAATCAGTAACAATTTTGTAACTACACACAGTGACATACTGGCAATTTTCGTGATGGGAAGGTCAGTGTTAACATTTTAAAAATTGTAAACTAATTCAAATTAGTTACTAATTACAGGCGCTTTCTGGTGTAGAATGGGCAAGGGAAGAATTATAATCTGTATATAAAATACAATTTGCAATTATTCAAATGCTGACTTGGAAGAGCGGTATGTAACTTTTAATTAACCATTAAATTTCACATTTTCATATAACTGTGAAAAACTTTTGCAAAAGCATTAGTACTCTTACAAACACCTTTAATACCATTTTAACTGTGACAGTTATTTTTAGCATTTATAAGAAAAAATCGACATAAACCCCGTGAACGTGCTCTCACTGGATAGGGAATAACTACCAAGGTTATCAATAACTTAAAAGTAAAAATTAGAACTTCCTAGAATGATACAAAGAAAACAGCATGCATACATGCAACCCATAACACCCCTTACCATCGTGCATAGCTTGGAAACGATGCAACCTAGGACCTTAAAATAAAGATTTCCCCAAATTAGCATATTCTACAAAATGATAATTGTTTCTAATTTTCTTCCAGTTTTGGAGATTTAGCTCTATGGGTACGCCTACTCCATGGCACAGCTATATTACAAATTTTCATACTTTGGTTCCAGTATTAACCTATTTTCACTTTTAAAACAATATTTGTAAAATGGCGGATTGTTCTCACGAGTCCAAATAGTGGATTTGATTCTATTAAAAATAATTCCACAGATTACATTTGAAAGGAATAATTTTATTTATGTGAATAATAAACAATTTAGTGATTCAAAAAGGACACATTTTCTCTAATGCTTTTTCGGGCAAAAATTTACAATAATCAATCTTAGCAACATTATTTACATTCCAGCATATTAGATTACAACGGTACTCCTTGAACCAGCTTTTGTTTCCTGAGTTTCCGGTTGAGTAACTGATGATTCAACTAAGGTTTTTATTACCCCACTCATTATTTCAGAAGCAGACTTAGCAATTACCGTTAACATTGAGGCGAAGATATGATTAGAAGCCGTGACAAAACACAAGGTCATGATTGCTTAGAAATGTTGAAGATGAGTCGACAGAATGAACAATGGAAATAGTAATAGACTATAGAAATAATAATTCAAATGCAATAATTATATTTTACATACTAAGACAACTGTAATAAAAAATAGTAATCAGGAATATCGACTGCAACTTAATTTATTTCGCGAGCATGAACGACAAAAACTTAACATTTCATCGTAGGGATGAAGAGAAGACTATTCCTTCATTCCAGATATAAACAACTTTAAAAGTAGGTTAGTAAAATGGAGCTTATGATATGTAATCTTTACAATAGATTAATGGATTAATACTGAAAATCTTCATGGAACTCGTAACCGAAGGTTTTCGCTACACTTCGTTTGCTTTCACATACTTCAGATACCAACCTACAACCAAAACATGCAGATATTTAATGTGCGTCTACCCTTTCACTCCTGATTTAACGGTCCTCACCAGGCCGCCTCGTAGCGTAAAAACATCTCAATTCAGAGTCGGCGAGAATTTCGCGCCGCTTAAGCGTCGATTTAGATGCATCCTGCAACCCGTTAATCATGGGAGCGCGCTCCCACCCGCTACAAGGCCACTTTTTCTCCCGTTTCCGATAACCTCGCTCAGCCCCCTTCCTCCTCCCCCACGTGGCGGCACCTGGTGGTCTTTGCGATGCAGTTTGGCCGAGCTCCAATTGGCCCACCCGTGCCGCGCCGCGCCCGGCTCCTTGCAGGAGATGTCGAAACCGCCGAATTCCCTTCCCACAAGGGACAAAGCGGACCCCGCCGGTCCGCGTCGCGCAGCGCCGGTCGCACGGTTCCCAGCGATTTGCCGGTGGGTGGGAACCGGCGGCAGCGGCGGCGCCGCGGAGGACTGGAAGCCGTGGGGCCGTACGGAAGGAAGCTCACGCCCACGCTGCTAAGAGATGCCACGGAAACACACGGAGGTGTCTTCGACAGATTTGGCTAGATTTAGGATGTGTCATGAGGTTTATATTTATTTCTTTTCTTTTCTGGCGGAGTGCAGAGGAGTTTTTAGGGAAGCATACACTGGGGTGTCTTCGATTTTGCTGAAGTTCGGATATGCAATAAGATCAATGGTAGAATCAATTTTTTTTAGAGGAGAGGGAGGGCAATATTTGTAGTATCCTGTCGACTTTATAGTTCATCATAAGAGTGTCGTGACGATCTCGGATTGAAGGATTGCGGGTTCGAATCCCGCCTCGAGCATGGATGTATTTGTGATCGTACCTTCACCCTTCATTATCATCATCCTATCACTTCATTAAATAAGAATGAATAATTTCGTGGTCGAGCAGATTTTAATGGTAGGTGTAGTTCGCTAATACAATTTTTTTAATGTATCGTCGGCTTTGGGGGGAAGGGGGGTGGGCTCAAGCCGTTTAAGCTTGGGTGCACAACTGAATAACATTTACGTTTTATTTCTTTATTTTTTGTTTCGTCTGGCGCGGCTACGTCAAAGAAGCGGAGAATTCTTTATACCGAGCAGTCTTACCACACATTTGGCTGAAGTTGCGGATATTACTGAAGTGGCATTTTGCGGTCACATAACAGATTAACGTTTTCTTCTTTTTCTTTGTCTGACGCAGAGCTGATAAATCATACCGAAGTGTCTTCGTTATTGTATATTTTAAAAGCTTGGATATGCAATACTTTCTGCCGTAATATGTGCAACATTTAATGCACTAATAACAATACCCACGTATGTGCTATTCCACGACTACAAGATAGAACCAATGTGTTTTAAATAATTCCGATTACACATCTCAAGAAAAGTTCGGAATTTTAGTCTCGAAAGATTAGTGATAAAGGTAAATGGGCGCAAACGAATAAGTTGATCTTGGAACAGCATAAACATAGTTGCTTTAGCTGTCCTAGAAGGTGGCCGCAGCAGTTGACGTCGCCCACCATTGTATGTGTAATGTCAAAAGTAAATGTGACAGATGATTGCTTTTCAGATATGAATGATTATAAATGACATGATTAGTCAGATGGGATATTGGGTTTGAGAAACTAACCATACCACAAACACACAGTGAGAACACCCCCGCCTAAAGGCGGCTCTACACATTCGGCATTCGCTGAGCAGCGAGCAACTGCTCGCCCAATCCCAAACAGCTGTGTTCGGCGAATGTTCGCTCCCTTTGACGTGTCCTAATGACCGACACGCGGTGGGTAGGGCGAATACCGAATGTTCGGCGCTTCGCAAGCAACCCGTCTACACTACTCGGGATACGGAGAATGCCGCATGTGTGGAGTCGCCTTATCGCGGAGCGCGAACCCTTCTGCAACGCGCATTGGATGGTACTTCAATTCTTTGCTCCGTGGAGGCTGCTACGCCCGGCTACCGGTGGTTGTGGTTGTGCACGGTATTCTAGAGCAAGGTTTACACGGGGAGCAATTGTGGTAACATATGCTGTCGCACTGCAGTTAGTTCTATTCAACGAAGAGCGCCATCTGTGTGCTTAAGGCATTTGTCTCACCGAGTTGCTCATCGTCCCGTGAACACCCCCAGAGGACCACCTGTTCTGCATTTGAGTTGGTTTCACGCGACCAGTTAGCAAACCAACACGGCAAGTCGACCAAGCAATTAACATAAGGCTTCGAAAAATCTGAATTGGAGTGAGGCGCCGTTAAAGGACGGTTAACATAACCTGAAAGTAGAATGATCTGAATATGATGTACTACACTGTCACGGAGGCAAATATGAATGGACCACAGGCAGCAATGCGAGAGTTAAAGGAAAAAAGTTTACTCGGGTGGTCACTAATTTTGTCATTAGAGAAAATGCCTATATGAGAAAGAACCTACAACTGCGAAAGAATTCAATTTTTCCTTCCACCTGAACCTATCGAAAATACAGGATAAATTCTGTTCTGAAGATATAAATATAATAATGCTCCGATGTTTGTTCTTTCGCATGGATGATTGTCCATTCTCTTCTCAAGCCAAATTATGAGCGCGTTTGCTTGAAAGGGATACACAAGTCAGTCATTCCGAATATTTCTCTTTTTTGTGGCTTAATTTCTCAAAATATAATTCAGAAACAAAAATTTAAAAAAATGAAAAAAGGAAAAAAAGAAAAAAGAAAAAAAAGAAAAGAAAAAAAAGAAAAAAGAGAAGAAAAAAAAACAACGAAAAATCGAGCTATCAGACTAATCATCAATGCAGTTCAACGTGAAAATTCACCATAGCCGACGCTGTTGTCTACAAACGTTCCCCGCGCTCCTCCGAATTCTTCTTCCCCCACTGCCGCGCGAGCTTCATCTGCCGGCGAAGTGGCGCGCGGGCGCAGAGGAAGTGAAGGGGGAGGCACCGTTTTATAAGGAGCGCGCGCTGCAAGAGGCCGGACACCGGACTGCGGGTTCGCTGCTCTCACGCGAGGGCCTGGAGAGCTTCCGGCGCGCCGCGCGGAGAACGAAATCCGGCGAAAGACTACGTCTGGAGTCGTCACCACCAAAGTGGCTCGTGTCTAGCTCTTGGTGCTCAGCGTGCTCGGTTTCCGCTACGCGAACCCGGCTTCGATTCTCGGTCGAGCCGAGACTACAGTGTGCGTTTTCCTTGCAATGTTCCAGTGTAAATATTCAATATTGTTTTCTTTTTTAAATCAAAAACCGAATCAAATTTCTCTACAATATACATTTTATTTTTCAATTAACAGAAGAAAATCCAAAAGGTTAATTAGTCAATTATAATACATTAGAATAAAACTCTTGAGAATTCAATACTCAAAGTAAGCCACACTACGTGACCCCGGGTTCAATTCCCGGTCGAACCAAGACTATTGTGTTAGTTTTCCTGGCGATGTCCCAGTATATGTTACTGTGTGACGATGAGAAAATTTACTTCTTAGGATGAGAAGACCGGAATACGGCGTGGGGATGTCTACGTACCAACCAGACGTACCCCTTTAACCCATGGTCGCGAGACAGGGACGTCGCTGGTAAGCCTGAGCCCGTTCACGGGCTGTCACGCCAAGAACATACATACAGTCACCAAAGTGGACTTTGTTAACCACCCTAGGATCGACTGGAGCTTTTTTAGGAGACGATAATTTCAAAATAATACTCAGAAAGGGTTCGTTAATCAGCTGGGTATCGTGGGCTGCAAATAAATCACTGAGAAGAATTGGAAAACTTAAAAACATTTAAAAACAAAGTAAGAAAGCTATAGTATTCAGGACACATTATGAGAAAAATAAATATAACATCTTCCTGATAATTTTACAAGGTAAGATTTGTGGTAAAAGAGCATGTGGAAAATGTACATCCTGGTAGGAAAATTTGAAAACATGGTACAGTTGATCAGTTGCAGGATTTTTGAAGCAGAAAAATCAAAACCCGAATGTTACCATGATGATAGACAACCTTCTAAAAGGAGACGGCATCGAGCCCCTCTATTTCTGTTCAATAATTTAATTTCAATATAGTAAATTTCTGTGAGCTGTCAAAGGATTTAACAAATAATTTTAACAAATGTGGCCTGCGACCAATACATTTCGGCAACTCTGCTCTAGAGTATCCTATAGTCAATACCGGCGTGCGTCACCAGGTACGAACGTAATAGATACGGTGAAATAATTACTCGAGATTAAGCAAGATAACCAATTTAGTAAATATTTGGGAAATTATGAGATACCAATGGAGTGATAAGGAATATTCCCCTCAACATTGGATTAGTTTCTAAGTTTATTTTAGAGAACACCCAATACGCTGTTGTTTCGACTAGCATATGTTAAATATATTGAGATGAAGAAGTCGGAATGGGACTCTTCAAAGTAGCTCCAATCTTTTAGAACCGTGTGAATTCGCAGGCTCTAATAAATAAGGTTCAATTCACCTGCAAGTAAAATTTAAATGAGAGCATTTGGAAAATTTGGAGGTGTCTGCCACAACATGCTATGCCACTTATTCGTAGGTTTTCTACAAGTCTCTTGTGAAAAATATTTAATTGATGTAAGATCAGACCATCCAGAGTTCAGATATATCAAAATGTCACATTTGCCAAATATGTCACACAGAACCGTGTTATTCTGAGAGCCCGATATTTGGTTGAGTATAACGCACGTTTCGCCAAGTTAGTGCATCTAAAGAGCGAAGTTCGAAACGGGTCATTCATTCCAAATTCCAGGGCGATTTCATTGTCAAAGGGTTGCAGGTCCCTGCCCACGTGTGGGTATGTTTATCACATGAATTTGTTCATAAGGTGAAACTACTATACCGTACGAAGAGAAGAAGTAGGTCGGTGTTGCAACAAATATCTAACTGGGTAACGAGGAAATATAATTCTCCAATAAACGAATAGAGTATAAAAATAAATCAACGCAATGTTATTATATTCAAGAAAAACTATTACCGTTTTGGATTACTAGTCTACTATTATTGCTTATTTAAATTGCTATTACCAAAAATATTTGTCGTTTGATGAATAATTTGTCGTCCTGATAACTATGCGTCATTTGCAGTTTCGTTTTGCGTTTAGAAAGAAAAAGAAATTAAAGTTATATTAAAGAATATTGAAATGAATGTTTCATAATTAAAATGAACATTACAGAAGAAAGGGTTAAGGCAGTTATTTGATTTATAATCATATTATCCAATATTAATAAAAACTTATTTGGTCTTCAACAACCAAGGCCAATCCTTGCTCCAATCACTACCAAGACCGTTGTTTTTTTCCACCCTTTTTGCACTTCTAGAGACAGTGTGGCAGAAAGACTTGACAATGTCATCTAATACCGAACACATGGCTTACCAGGGCTTTGAATGACTCTAGAATTTAGCTCAGATAAACCATTTACACTTGGGGGTTCTTTTACAAGCCGCAAATCTGCGACGTGTCACAGCCAACTTCACTTCCCTTCGGGCGGAAGGGAAGGATTGTTTGTCCTTAAAACATGAGCTTCGAAACTGCGAATTCGGGCATAACATACCAATTGGATTATACATAGACACTCATCCTAATAAAAATAGTAATATACTGCAATAAACTCAAATCTGCCCCTGGCAGGAATCAGCTGTTGGCAGTTTCATCCAATAGGGAGCTAGAACGTTCAACAGTGACGTCACTATGGTGACGTTCAAGCTCGCGATTGGATGAAACTGATACCAGCCAGGGGTAGCGTTGCGAAAATCGCAGTGTAGTCTTATTTCCTTGAGGAAAGGGTTACGTGAAGGGTGAGGCCCAGCGCCCCGCACTCACCTTCCCGCCGGTGGAGGCCATGGCGTGCGGCTCGGCGCTGGTGGACACCTCGTGCATGA